TGAAAAAATGGGTGATTTTCACTGCGATCCTGTGGAGGATTTGGTTGAAAATTTTTGGAATTATATTGGGCTGTTGGGTTATCCCAGTTTCGAGGTTTTGTATATTGGTTAAAATTCCTTTGTGGTTGATAATTTGTTTTTGATGGATGTGTATAATTATAATTATGGTCTGCAAAGTTGTTTCTAGTGAATGTTTTGCGTGTTTTTGATGGTATTGTCATGGGTCTGTATGTTTGGTAATCCATATGTGAATATTTAGGGGCAACCGAAGGTTTAACGGTTGATTGTAAGGTTACCTGTGTTTGTGAAGGATTTGTATTTCTTGGTGTTGTTAAATTTGGGCGTATTGGTGAAATACTTTGTTGTGTAGTTGTTGTGTGTACAATTTCTTCATTTATGAAGTGTGATGGTGTCTGGATATCTTGTTGAGTAAGATTCCTAGTTCCATTGAGGTTTTCATTGTGTATGACTGTAGAGTTTAAACTATTATTTTGTGTATCGGGTAAAAATGTATTATAGTTTAATGGAGTTGCATCAATTGTTAATGGTATTACTCTTACATAATCTCTTATGTAAGATATTGTACCTATTGCTTGACTTGAGATTGATTGTGGAAAGCTTATAAATGCGGGATGAGACCATTCGGGGTCCCAAACATAATCTGATTGTTCTGTGATAGCGGTATCATCGTTCGAATTTTGGGGTCTAAAATTTTTTCTTGCTTGTGCAATTAAATCAATATTGTGTGTGAAATAATCTATTATGAACCATGCTAAAATTTTTTGTAAATCGTGTTTGGTATGTTGTGAAACGTCGTCTTTCGTGAAATTTTCTTTAATGATGTTTAAATAACTAGAGAGTAGTGTGATTTCATGTCGTACTCTTAAATGTTTAGATGTTTCTGTCGGTGAGACATTTGTTAATGGAAGTTCATTTTCTAATATCGAAATATAACTATATATTATTGCGAAAACTTCATTGGTGAATATGGAGTTTGCTCTTTGTGAGTTATGGTATTGGATGCTTTTTATATATTCTGAAAAAACTTTTGAAAATTCTAAATCAAGATCGTCTGTTTGAATAGTATATGTTCTATTATTGTGGTTTGGGGAGGTGAATTCTATAGAGTAGATTCCATACTGTTGTGTTATGTTGCATATATCTTTTAGATAGTGGTCTATGATTTGTCTTTTGATTTTTACATCGGGGAACTCTGTTTTACATGGACTGATTCCGGGTTCAAATAAATTTACGAGTAAATTTTGACAAAATATGTGTTGTCCTCTATCAGTATCTGCGTCTACTATAAAGGGAAAGATTTCATCATCATCTGGAGTTTCGTCACCTGGAGTGTGCGTTGAGCTCATTTTTTCGTTCGATGACTGTTAATATGTAATTATTAATGTGTCGAATTGGTTGATTCCAATTGTATAAATGTACTGGTTTGTGTTTGTACTGCTTTTTTATTCTTCTTTTTCCTCTTTGTGATGAATTTGAAGTTGTTTCTGAGTCAGAAAAATATAATTGATCGTGAAGTGGGCAATTTTTATCTATTGATTCTTTTAGTTTGTAAAGTTCGTCTAAACTGTTGGTTTCTGATTCTGAAAATGCGTTTCGATTTTTTGAAAATCTTTTTCGTGTTATTTGTCTTTGTTTAGTTATTATCTTCCTCTTTAGTGTTTGTCGTTTTGTTCGAATGTATCCAACTGTTTGTGTATGAGGTGTGATTACAAGGTCGTATTTTTTGTTATCTATTTCACAATTGTGTAAAATGATTGTTTGTTTATTTCCTAGGTTTTTAAATGACATAAGGTTTAGAATGACGGATGCAAAGGTTGTTAAATGATTTCTATTTTCTTAAACTGTTAGTTCTTACGATTTTTTGGTTAGCTTAACCTGGGTCTTTTTGTTCAGGGTTGGAGAGAAAAGTATATCGATTCCGAAGAATGATTTTTACTTTCTTGTGTCTAGTATAAGCTAAGGTGTTAACTTACTTAATCTTACTTAGGGGTAGTGATTGTGTTCAAGGGTTGGAGAATAGTAAATCGATCCACAAGGTTCAGGTATAATTAGAACGCGAGTAGTTCGTTAGATACTATTTTAAACTTACTAAGTCTAAGATTTATCCTGGGTCTGGTAAGAGGGGGGGGGGTCAAGTGAAGGATGAATAACCGAAGTTCTTCACTGTTTATCCTAATTTGAATGATTAGTTTTGTTCAAAAATTTCTATTAGTCTTGGGCTTTAGAAAGGGTTGGGTAGTGAATCGACGTTTGAGGTCGTTAGACACTAATTAAGTGGGTGGGGGAGAACAAAGTTGTTCTGTTTGATCCAAGGATAAGCCTTGATGATCAAATTTAAAATTTAATTAAGTAGAAAATGATTTAAGATCCAAGGATAAGCCTTGATGATCTGGTTTTAAAATTAAGTGACTTTAAATTTTGATAAAGTTTTAAATTTGTGTAAAGGAAAAATTTAGTGTTTTGAAGATATTAGTGAGTTGATGATTGCTGTTATGTTTTAGGTGATGAAGCTGGAACAACAGGATGATTTATGATTACTAACCATTTATTGTCATGCTACTAATTTTTATTTTTATTTTCCAATAAATATTTTTCAAACATGTTTTGTATATTACTGCAGAGTTTTAGGAAAACGATCTTAGATCTTTTTATCAATCGTTATTGTATAATATTAATTTTGTTTAGCGCCTGAAATGATTTTGAAGAGTAACTTCAAGGTTTTATGTTTGCAAATGGAAATCTAAATTCATTGCAAGTAGTATTCGAAATATAAAAGTTTGTTCTGGCTTTTGCCGAACTATCATATAACTATACGGCAAGTTTCTACTTTGTCGTATGTCGTCTTTGGTTCGAGGTCTTCTTCCAATTCCGGGTAGTTCTGTTATGGTTCGGAATATTGGCTCTGATCTATTGAGTCGGAGAGACATTTCAATTAAATTATTGTCGTATAACATTTTGTAAATGTTTTTGTCTAATTTCTAATCTATTTTTGGTTAATTCTAATCTAGTAAGGTCTTGTTCGAGACTTATGGTCGCACCAGATGAGTTAGGACCGAAGTGTAACTCATAGAGTAATTTCGGATAGGGTACACCGTCTGCTCGTCACGCTATCTTATTTTCGGCCGGATAGATTCGTGCAACTTCTTAGTCTAATACCGATCCTAATCTTACTCTTATACTATCTAGTCTCAGGTTGTTTAACTAGTCTCTGCTAGGCTCAATAGATCTAGGGTATACTGGTTTATTGCGGCTGCTGAAGTGCTCGGGAGAGTCCAACTAATTTCTAAGTTAAATTCAAATCTCTCTGGTGCTGAAATTACAAGTAACTTCAGCACTTACAAATAAGTGGGTTGTTAGTTAGATGGATCATGATTGGTTAATATTAAATACTTTACATTGGTAAAACATTTAATTTATCCAATCATAAAATATAGTTTAGATCAGGTTCCACTTAGAACAGTTTCATATATTGCTTAAGATCTAGATCATTCAACAGCCGTTGAATTTCCACATTTCGAGAACCATCATCATGATTCCAATGTGCATTAAAATCAGCCAGTAGGTAATGGTGAACTTGAATACGATTGCGATAAAAAATGTTTCAAGAAAAACTTCTGCAAGTTTCTGAAGACACCCTGAGGTGGTCTGTAGTAGGAGGTTGAAGGTCGTGGTTTTTTAATGTCATTAACTGTTATCGTCAATTTCGAATCTTCGTTTATTTCAGAATCAATCAAACTGGGCCTTAAGACTTTTCTTGTAATCACAGCAATTCCGCCTCCACTTTTAGCTAATCGATTTATGTGCATAAAACAGTACATCGCCGAGTTGTTTATGCAGCGTTTCAGAAAAAAGATCTGCGTCATCATCGAGCTGAGCCACGTTTCAATTAGAAAAACTGTGTCAAAAACATCCATTGCAATCCAGTTGGCTTTTCCTTCACTTTTGTTCCGTATTGATCTAGAGTTAATTTGTCAAATTTGGATTGTTCTAAGTCATTTATTGGCATTGGTCCAATTTTCAGTGTGTCCATTCGGTGGCAGTCTATGTTGGTGTTTCAGCCAGTCTTTTGCCTCTTCATTTAGGAAGTACCGCGAGATACATACGTTTGCAGACCAGAAATCAAGATTTTTAACAAACGTTGCGCAATCGCTTGAAAAGACCAGATAAAAATTCTCATGCTCTTTGTATTTTTACTCACTTCACGACTGAGCACAGGTTCTGCTCCTTTCGAAGCACAAAGACTAATGAGGTCATCAAGAGAACTTTCTTTGCCGATTCGACTCACATATAGGTGTCCTCTTGGAGGTGGTATCTCCACACCTTTTATCGTTGTTTGCTTTGTGTCAGAGCCAGTTATTACTGTTTTTTGTTTTTTATTACTGTTCTTCACTGACTACCAGGATTCCCATCTATCTCGTTTACGGGAACCTTCTCTTCTTTCCGAGTTATCTTGATAATTTTCGGGAGTTGCAGAGCGTATTCTTTCAGCATTTATCAATGCAGTTTTGTACGTTTGATTGGGAGTTGAAACCTGGCTTGCTTTCAGATAAATCACTTCTTGTTCAAGTTTACTTAGTTTTTCCGGTAGAATTGCAAGTTGGTTCATTTTTGCATTGAGATTTTCAAGGAGAGCAACAAACGACGTAATCGTTTTATCTTGGCAATCCTTACAATTTGCCAACTCGCATAGTTCCAGTTAATCCCGTGCAAGACTTGTGTACTTGCTTGCTGCACCATTCAAGTTAATCAGAGTCCACCCCCTCGATTGCTTCATCACATTATCGACATACGTTTTGCGACATCTCGTCTTCCCCGAGGTCTTTGGTTGAAGTTTTTTTTTTCAACACGTCAATGAATATATATTTGATACTTGTCACATAAACTAGATCATTAATATCAACTAAAGGCTACCCAAGATAAGTTATCCGGTTCGTCGAAGCAGTTACTACTGAAACATTAACTTATCAAATCGCAAAGCTATTTAATAAGTTTATTACAACATTTAGGCTCCAAAATTTTTCTATTTGCAGATGTTACACACGTTTTGCGTGATACCCCGAACTTCAAGGATTTTCAATTAGATTCATAAAACATTTCAATCAGGCGTTACTCAAATAAATAGATTAATTTAGATCAAATAGCCTTGATAAAATTCGAAAAGAAAAGTGATCTTTCGTATTAATAACTCGTTATTACTTTGATGAATTCAAACTAATCAACTATAAACAGAACTATATTAAAAACAAAACTAAGGCGTCACCTGAAAATTGGATACTACGAGCCAACTTCGCGTTTTTTAAATACTATCAGCCGAATAAAGCATCTATCAGCCGAATATGGGCTTAAATGAGTGTCCATTTAAATTTTAAAACAAAACTTTCAAGTAAAAAAAATCAAATGACACCTTTAAAACAGTTAACTTTCAAACTTTTTTTATTTCTAGATTTAAGATATCCTGCAAATAATACAAAAAATTAAAAACATCGAACATTTATTCCCCCATTCAGTAAAAAACCAAGGTTTGTCTCGTCAACAAAAGGAGCAAAAATACTGAATACACTGCGCGAAAATAATGTTACCTGATAATATTGGTCAAATAGCAAAAATTAAGGAAAGCGTTTTTGCTTAGTTATTGAAAAATAGTTTCATACTATTTAACTAGACATTGTAATACTGAACTGGTAAAAACATATTTCAATATATAACTTTCCATTTTTAAAAAAAGTTTCACTAAATTAAATGCGATCAAATAACCATTTAAGGATAGCGAGAATAACCAAAAAAAAACTCCAATTTCTAGTAGTTGAGATCGCGACCCTAGCGAGAGATCGCAAGTTCCAGAAAAAAAAGTTTATTATTTACCACGAAGGCCAAGGGGAAATTCGCATCATTTGCGATACAACGCAAGCGCAGCAATGCAAGATAGTCAAAAGTAATGAGACAGAAAAAAATCGATAAACGAAAAATTTGGGGAAAATTGAAAATATTTTCAGAAAAAATTGAAAAAAAAACCATTACTAAGTAAGCTTCTAGAATTTAAAACGCTGCCACTGAGCCGACAAAAATTATAAGACACCCATTGAGCCGAAAACAAAAAAAGTGGATCATGAATTGATGTCATACGAAAACTTCAATTAAGCTATGAAACTTTGAAATATCGCAACAGAAAATCACTTTATTTCTCAAAAAACAATCAATAATTTCTTGCTCTTGCAGCGATACAAAATGAGGTTAATTACCCGATAAAACATAAGTCGAAACAAATTAGGCCGAAGAAAGCTTTTCAGCGAAAAAAAAATGAAAAGGAAAACATACAGGGCCATTGATTTTACAAATTACAGAAGTAAATCAAAAACATAGCTGACTGATAGTTGTAAAAGAGTAATGAACGCAAGGAATCTGAAAAAAAAAAAAACAATTTAATTTTTCAAAAATTTTCATCTTTTGAATTTCGAATAAAAAATTAGATGGCTTTAAAGCTCTTTGGATTTGTAGAACAATTTATGATGAACACTTTTTAGCTAAAATTGACCCAATTTGAGAAAACTGGATAAATAGGTAAAACTTTTATTTCGCTGGGAAATCTGATAATTAATTTCCATTTTCAAAATAAAAGTCAATCACGTTTTTCGTGACCTTTACACTTTTGCAGTTCAATAGTGGAGTTTACCTTCCCTTTAGCAATGGAAATGCACTGAACTTGAAAAGAAATCAGAAGTCAAACCGCGAAAAATCTAAATTAGCGTGAACAAAATCTAAGACTTTTTCCTGAAAAAAAAATCAGCAAGACCTATATAAGAGTCTTCACTACGTTCATCACTCTTAAACACTTGCATCTACAATGAAAATGGGGAAAGCACGATAACATTGTCAATGAGGCAACTGATCCGACGGCAAACAACAGCCCGGCAGCTCTATTTTTCCCATATTTCACACATATTGAAAAAAAGTAGATAATTGGAGCTACTACAATACAAAGAAACATCAACTTGGTTGATCTCTATTCCCTCCAAAAGCAAGGCATGGACTTAATAAAGAAAGAAGTCAACGACGCCTTTCACCTACGATATGATTGGATACAGTTAATCTCTGTAGGAGTGAATGCGGTGAAGTTTAGCTAGCCTTGCAATGATTTGCAAGCTTGGTGGAATCGCAATTCTCAGACATAACGTGGTACGATACATTATTTCACAAATGCTACAGATGACGGGCAAAGACGTAACCCCTTGAACCTGCTCAAGTACAAAATATATGCAAAATACCACTTCAGAAAAAACGCAACGGATCAAAAAAATTACAAGATCAACAAGCATGATGAAGCCCGGCTAGATATTTTGTGTGTTTGTCATTACAGAAGACTTTTTTTCGACGTCCGTATTACGCATTTGACACAAGCGAAGCTGCGCTTCGCAAACCCTTGCAAGAACACGACCAAAAAGCAGCTCTATCAACTGACATAGGAAAAAGTAGAAACAAGCCTCGAATTTGCAAAAACTCGAATTAGCAAAAATCTGCGACCTAGCAAATTTGAGTCTCACGCACTAACCATTCAGCCAGGGATGCTTAAAATCCCCAAAAACTAGCCACCAATAACGCAGCTACATATGCTAATAAATTGCCAATTCGATGCAGCAAAAGTAGCACCAATTACAAAAAGACACAATTTTGCATGTAATAAATTAAAAATCATAAAACTACATAGTGTATAAATTATGCATTTCAAAAATTGCGAGATATATTGAGTTAGAAAACTGCTGAAATCGAGATTTGATTATTGTTATGTTGTTTGAACAAATAGCTTTTTTCGGTTCTCTTAATGAATTAAAATTGCATCAACTGTGTAAACTTATACCTATTCGAATGTCACGGCACATGTTATCAATAAGCTGTGAAGGTGCATCAAATAAGCTGTCATGACAATTCGATGCAGCAAATTTTGTTGCTTTAAGTCGCAACAATATTTGCGACTTAGGTTTGAAAAAAAAAGAAAGTTTGTACTATAACACTTTGAGCCTTCATATTGGCGAGAGAACTGGTAATTCTTACTCTCATTATGTCAACTATATATAATAAGTCTGTCATTCGAAATTATCAAGACTGCTCTAATTGCTTTAACCACAAACCGAGTCAAAATTGGGTATCTTAACATGAAGTCGACTTTGATTGGAACGTAAAAATTACGCACCCTAATAAAAAGACTTTCTAAAACAAGACAGCTCCAAAGGACATAAAAAAAAATTTGAGCGCTCATTACCTTTTTAGTAACTTTGGTCGTTTCGTTTTTCTCTTCCGAGCGGTACTCGTGCTAATTGGCTATCGGGTAGACCTTCATTAAGAGCGCATTACGCCTTTAACCTATCCTTTCCAAATTCTTGGAATCAAGCGTAAATAAAGAAAGAACTTATATTTACAAAAGTATTGGTATTTGAAACTAATTGATTGGATAAATCTTTCTTCATTTCTTACTATGGTCATTCCTATAGTCAAAACTGGCCTCAATCTTAAGAAGATGCCAGACATTGCAAAATGAGTTCAATTGGGCTAACTAACCATGAGAGCACGGCACTCGCGTGTTAACAGCTGTCCTTTGACGTCTAGATTGTCAATGAGAGTGTCTGCACAGGAGCAGCACAGTGGGAAGTCCAGGGCACTGCACTCGCTAAGAGAGTCGAAAACTGCGTCCACTGTCTAAAAAGACTATTTTTGAGCTGTTTAGATTTTGACCAGAAAACAAATGTGTTGGCGCTTCCCCTGCTCTCTTCCTCAAAAATAGATACATTAATATCAAAAAAAGAAGTTATCAAGACGTTAGCGGGCCGAAGAGTCCACTGACTAACCTCTTTAGAGTATGGCAGTAAATTTGAGTCAAGTGGAGCATCAGCTATTCTCTCATTCAGTTTCTGCTGTTCTGCCTCTGGTAAGCCTAAAACAAACTGTTTTAAAATGCTTGCAAAACCTGATCACGTATGTCATTTACTGACTCTGACACATTTTTGATTACTCTTATCGGATTTCAAATACAATTTTAGGTTTATACAATATTAGGTTTATACAATTTTAGGTCAATCTCACTTTTGTTGTTCGCATTGACATGATCTTTTTCATTTGTAGCACCATTACTATTAGATTGATCTTCAGAAATAACTGTTTCACCATCATCATCTGTCGTTCCTTCTTTCTTTCCCCCTTCCTCTTCGTCTTCTTCGTTGAGAGGGATGAGGGTCAAGGGATTGATTGACGTCACTCTTAATTTGGGGTTTCCTTTCGCTTCGTTCTCTTTTTCTAATCTGAACAATTTTCAATATCTTTCAATTTTTTGATTAATTTCAGCTTGAGTTTTCCAACTCGGAATCTTAAATATTTGATACACTAAGCCTAACCATAGTGACTGTTTAACTTACCACTGATATGTTTTATCACTGTTATAATAAATCTAAAAGAAAAAACATTTAAAGCAGGCTAATATAGAAAGTAAAACCTCCTTCAAACAAGCTTCAAGTTAATTTATGCCTTTTTATAGGTGAATCTTTGATCGATATCGCCAGCGATTTCAATGATAAATGTATTTATGCAATCACTGCCGAAAATTAGAAGCAAGAAAAGGTGTAACATTTGGAAATTTCATTTTCGCCAAAAACGTAATTTTGGTTGATACTGCACTTACGACACATGAATTTAAATATAAATGCATCCATAAAAGAGGAATCTTCAAAGCGAAGCTCAACTTACTCGTGTAATACTTTCTGGAAAGACTCGAAAGCCTCTTCAGGGCTGCGTTGAGAGAATTCATCCACCACCCCGACATTGCTAACATGCTCAGTTCGCTCCTGCCTTATAGATGCCGCTGACGAAGGAGACAATGCTCTCAGATTCCTCTTCGAATCGCCTCTCCTTAGACTGAGCGAGCTCCCACTCGGAGATTTCGACATCTTAAATGGAAAGGACATACAGACTCCAGTGCGGAAGTATAATACGGAAAAAATTATTTGACCAGAAAAATGACCGGAAAAAAAAACAGTTAACAGGTTTTCTTAACCACATTCGGTAGAACTTAATTCTCGGAGTTGGACAGATATTTCTTGGATAGAAAAAGGATTTTTACGGGTTTTAAAATATCGGGGGGCTGGGGTCTCGCAACGTCTGCTTAATATTTGCTCAATTCTGATTAAAATCATGCAAAAAAAAATTCTTGAATAAAAAATTGACAAGAAGTTTTGAATGATTTAATGCAGGTTTCACTTTTTTGCGCTGAAAATAGTTTTTTTAATTTAAGCTGCTCTTAAAAGCGGCATTTTGTTTAAAATGTTGGGTATAAACTTTTAACACAGGCCAAGCGGAGCTTTGCATCACTTAGGATACTACAAAAATAGCATTGCAAGCTACAATAGAGGAAAGGAAGCAACTTAGTCCCATGAAAACGGAGAAACTTTCGAAGCAATTACAATACAAAAACTTCATATCGTTGTCTGGAATGATGTTCTATTTGCGAAAAACACGTCCAGAAACACACTCGATGGCGTTTTATGAAAATTTAAAAACAATTTTCCAGGGAAAAAAATGTCATGAAAAATGAAAAACTTTGAACTATACATTCTATTCTGAGATTTTAAACATTTTGTGTGATCCGGAGGAAAACATATAAATTATGGTTCCCTCGAATGACCAAAATTTGGTTAGTAAGCCAATAAAAAATAAGCCGAAATCATTAAGGCCGACAAGTTAAAAAAAAGGAAAATATACGAAGTCAAGGCTAGTAGAATTGCCCAGGCATAGTGAGTAAATGAAAACAAAAAAATCAACTAGTATGAAAACTGCATACAGTAGAAAAATCTAAGATAAGGCAGCTAAGTCGACAAAACACAAGCAAACAAGTAATATGCCGACAATTTTTTTGAAACGAAATATTTCCCTTTTGAAATAAAAAAAAAGGTCCTGATCAGATTCGAACACAGGACCTTTGCCGTCCTAGGCGTATTCGTTAACTCCAGACTAAATTTCCATGAGACGCTTTGAAATTTTAAATCATTAGGAACCAAAATATCAAGTGATTCTGAAACAAGTCGTTAACCCAAAAAAAAGTCTAAATTCCGATTTGATAACGCTTGCTCATCGAAAGCGTAATCAGTATTCGAATTGAAGTCAGTGTTCCATGGAAAGAGAGGATGGAGTCTATGACTCTCACTGTGATTTAGGGGTCCCGGCAACTAATAGGTGCAGAGTAGCTAATTTAATCGACCAGAATTATGTTCGATAGAAAAATTCATGGTCTCAATAATACTTATACACAGGAACAACAAAATTAGGCGCGACAACGCAAGATTAGGGGCCTATTTAGATGGGAATGGACGAACAAAGGAAGACAAAAAAGCCGAAGCGTTGACATTTTTTTTTGCCAAAAAGTTCATTAGGTCGATATTGCATTTACTACATATGAATTGAATTATCAATGCATCCACAGTGGTTTTTCTTGAGTAGCAACGAGCCTAGACCAGAAAAAAATGAGACTAAAATCAATGTATTACGCAGATTGCTCAAGGAAATTTGTTTTTCTCAGAAAGAGCAATGCCTGGCTCGCAAACTTCTAATAAACATAGCCAACTGACAGTTGGAAAAGAGAAAGTAACGCAAGGAAACTGAAAAAAAAAAACGACTTGTTTTTTCAAAAATCTTCAACTTTTGAATTTCCAAGAAAAAAATTAGATGGCCTTAAAGCTCTTTGATTTTATAGAACAAATTTTGATGGACACTTTTTCGCTAAACTTGACCCAATTTGAGAAAACTGGATCAATGGGTAAAAAATTTTTCGCTAGGAAATTAGATATTTAATTTACATTTTCGAAATTAGAAATCAATCACATTTTTCGTGACCATTATAATTTTGCTGTTCGCTAGTGGCGTTTGACTTGCTGTTAACAATAGAAATGCACTGAACTTAAAAACAAATCATAAGTCATACCGCGAGAAAAATTAAAACAGCGTGAACAAACTTTAAGATTTTTTTCCTGAAAAAAAATCAACAAGACCTATAAAAGAGTACTCACTACTTTTGTTATTCTTAATTATCTCTTAGAAAGCGGTCTACATTTACATCAAAAAATAATGTGAAAAAATTTTATGAAAAAGTCAAAATAGGCTGAAAAAGACGATGCCTAAATTTAATGCTCCTGCTTAGAAAGTTGATTATACATAATATAAAAGACATCATAGATAATGATATTACTCCCCAGCTATACAAATATCATAAACTGCATATGGCCTTCTTGAATACCGCTCCTGGTTAGTGCTGAATAATTTAACAAAAATGCTCAAATATCTACTTAATTAAATTAAACTATCTTAAGTTAAACTACCTTATTAAAGATTTGTTTTTTTCCCTTATTTCATCTGAATTTTTAGTTGTTTTTGCTGTTAATAATCTAAAATTCACAATTTATGTAGAAAAAAAAACGAAAACAAATTTGAGAAATCATTGCAGCATAGTTTCCAAAATAATACATTTTATAACTAGAACTGTCTTTTAAGAAGGGATATCGTAATGATCTCTGATATGTTAATGGCCAGAAAATAATGAAAGGGAAATAAGAACCCAAATTATCAAAATTGTCACCACCGCATAGTCCGACTATTCACAGAAAATATAAGGAAATGTGGTCTAACGGATTGTATGATCGCAATGAAAATTATATAAAACTATTAAGGAAATCAAGAGTGATATCTTAAAAAATTTCTTTCAATCGTGATTTGATCAGGATTTAAAGGCTTCACTTTGTGTACACTTTGAAAACGCTTCTAAACCGTTAATTATCAAAACAAATGCCTGCAGGCAAAAAGCGATTGGGGTGGGCGTAGTTGTGCATTTTGTGGCAGGGCGTTCTTAATTAAGTTATCTAGAAACAGCTACACTAATGCCCACTATAATCTTCGTCTCGTAACATTATTCAGAGCGTAAATAAGAACAACTCATCGAATTGGTTCTTCGATCTTCTCATCAAACTTTGCCGAAAAATAAAATTGAACTTAGTTTGCATTGAACTTGGTTTGGTAAACAACATTTAAGAGCTTGAACAACTTTTAAGAGTTTTTCCGTAAAACAAAAAGAGCAATTTACAATCATTCACACTTAAAAACCAGTTATTTATACAGAGTCGAGGCGGAGCTTCGCATCACTTACTATACAACACAAATATAAAAACATATCAAAATGAAGAAAAAATGAAGAAACTAGGTCTACCAAAATTTAAATTTTCGAACAAAATATACGAAAAGGGGAAAAAACCCGACAATTTTAGAGCAGACACAAGTTGAGCCGTAAAAAAAAACAATTTTATTTTTAAAAAATCGGTAAATTTTCAGTCCCTCTTGAAACTACAATGAGTAACACTTGCACTTGCAACTATAATGAAATTTTCGAACAACACAAGAAAAATCCGTTACGTGGCAACGAAGCCGACAATTTTCGAGCAGACGCAGTTGAGCCAAAAAAAACTATTTCAACCAAAAAACTTGAAATGTTTCAGTTCCCCCTGAAGCTCCATTGAAGAACTCTTTCACTTGTATCTACAAATATAGCCAACTGACAGTTGGAAAAGAATAATGAACGCAAGGAAACTGGAAAAAATGACTTGTTTGATCAAAACTCTTCAAATTTTGAATTTCGAAGAAAAAAAATAAATGCCAATTAAGCTCTTAGAATTTGTAGAACATTTTATATTGGACACGTTTTGTTAAAGTTAAATCAATTTGACAAAACTGGATCAATAGGCAAAACTTTTATTTCGCTGGGAAATCTGATAATTAATTTCAATTTTCGAAAAAGAAATTCATCACATTTTGCTGTACGATAATGGAGCTTGTCTTCCTTTTAACTATGAAAATGCACTGAACTTAAAAAGAACTCACAAGTCACACCGCTAAAATCATAAAATCACAATTGAGCATGAACAAATTTTAAAACTTTTTCCTGAAAAAAAAACCAAAAAAAAATCAGCTAGATCTATATAAGAGTACTCACGATGTTCATTAATCTATAAAATTGCTTGCAGCACAAGCAAAATCCGTAAGTGTCAACTAAGCCAAACGAAAATCCGACCATTCAATTTTTGACGGAAACCGATTCAATAGCATACATTTTGAAAAAAGCACGGCCAAGTAGGAATGAACATGGAAATTGTTGAACATGGAAAAATAAATCAAGTAAGAAAAGCACGTAACATTTGTAAAAAAAATTTGTTTACGGGAAAAAAAAGTCGTTCCCGATAACAAGACACTCGCAATTTAATTAGGCTAACCATAAGGCTTAGGCTATTCCAATTTAATTATTGCTTCTAAATTCTTGCCACTTAATTATACTCTTACCTATTATTGCTTCTTAACCCTCATTTATCAAAACAAATGCATGCAAGCAAAACATAAAGATTTTGATACGTTATAGTTATGCAAAATCAAGTACAACTTAGTCCAAATTTCGAATATTAAATTTTGAATTCAAAATTTTTTTCAAATTTCAAAGAAAAACATTTTGAGCTTTATAGGAGACTAAACCCTGTTCATCGACTCTTAAAAATAACTGCCCTCAAATTGAATTTTTAGATGACGTCAAATCGAATTGAATAAATGACCTAATATTTTAAATTAATTTACGACACAGGCGAAGCAGAGCTTCGGTCCACTTGCGATTAAAAACAAACATAAAAAACATCACAAGTCTAAAAAGTAGAAAACGTTGAAAAAAACTAATTCTACCAAAAATCAAACTTTCGTATGTATTGAGATAAGTTCATTCTAGGCTGACAAGCCAGAAGTTTGAAAATTAAATAAGCAACGGAACAAAACTGACGAAGCGGAAATACAGCCGACAATCTTTGAGCAGATACAAATTGAGCAGAAAAAATTAATTCATAAAAAATCTTTACAGTTTTAAGTCCCACCTCAGACTAGAATGAAGAACAATCGCACTTTCAACTACAAACAAAGTTGCCTATAGCACAAGAAAAAAACAGTGATTTGGCAAGCAGACAACCTTCGAGCAGACACCTGTTGAGCCGATAAACAAATTGATTTTTAAAAAAATTTAAAAAAATTCAAGTCCAGCTCCCTGAACCTACAAAGGACAACACTTGCACTTGCAATGAAAGTTAGGTAGAGGGCTAACAAGATTTGTAATTTGGCAACTAAGACGACTAAACTTTAGCAGAATAACGAGAGTCCGAGAAATCAAATTTTACCATTTTTTCAATTGCATATATACTGAAAGAAACAAGGTCCGGCCGAGAGTCGAACCATAGAACTTAAGGTATAAAAGCAATACCGTTAATTCGAGGCCATGTGGGAAGAAACCTGGAGGTTGTGAAAGTTCAATAAAAATGCAAGTTGAAAAAAAAATTAAAACGTGCAAGAAAAGTTGTTTACGATTTCCCGATTTCAAGTCACTTGCTATCTAAATAATACCTGATTTCGTCGAACAGCAATTTTTGCCCTCGAGCCGACGCAACTTAAGTTCATTATGCCATAACATACAAGCTGAAACCGTTTAATCGAAAAAAAAAACTACAGAAAAAAAATCAATATCATTAAAAACTAGATCTGGTAAAATGACAAGAACAAACTTTCAACGAGAGTATAAAAAATTCAAAATCAAAAAAATCCATGGTTACAAAAAGCCGAAAAAATAATTACCAAATAAACCAAATTTCATTCAGAAAAAAAACGGAAAATGAACCGACGGAAACTAGGCCGAAAACCACGAAACCAACAAAAAAAGACATTTTTCCAAGAAAACTGTTTGAAGACAAACTAACATCAGAAACGGACTTGACCAATTTACTACCTTAAAAAGTAGTTTTAATTGAATTTCCAAGAAATTGAGCATATCTAAAATTTACCATTCCTACACATTTGACCATTCTGTTCCTTAAGTTAGGTACGGGAAAAAATATAGTGCACGATTGCAATACCCGGGTATATCGCAAGGGTAATGACACTTTGATAGACAAGTTATGATTGATAAAACTAACCCAATTTGAGCAAACTGGATCATGAGGTGCCCTTTTTATTCAGCTGGGAAACTCGAAAATTAAAATCCACTCTCGAAACTAGAGGTCGATCATGTTTTTTGTGCTCCTTACACTTTTTCTGTTCGATAGAGGAGTTTGCCTTCCTTTTAACAAAGGAAAAGAACTGAACTTTAAAAAAAACATCAAAAAGCCAAACTTCGAAAAATCAAAATTAGGCCTGAAAAAATTTGAAGAATTTTCCTTAAAATCATCACGACTGATATGAGCATCTTCATTACCTTCACATCCTACAAAAATGGGTGTGTTATCACATTCAACCCCTTTCAGTCGAAATCCAGACTGCATGCTATACAAAATAAGAAATGGTCATGAACGAATTCTTGTTTAAAACACGACAGACAAAACATTCCTTGACCGGTATGCTGGTACTTTGCCTCGTGGTTAATTGGTCTTATTATCAAAATTCTTTCACTACCTTAGACGGAGATCCGGCGATGCTTGCGTGAGACTTCATTTTCTCCCCCGCATCTAAGACACTTGGACGTCCCATGACTACTGGTGAGTAGCAATACTGGCAAACCAGCTGCAACCGCTCGTTACTTATCTTTGTCATGACGCTCTCTTTCTTTCAAGCTTCTACACTTCGTTTTGTCAGCTTAATAAGCAATGCATGATTTCTGAAAGTGTCTTTGCAATATTTCATATCGATCACTAGTTTACTTCAACTCCAGTAGCAATAAATTATTCTTGGTTTTACTCTCATTGTGTTATTGTTCCAACCCACCGAAGGGTGAATTAAATAACGTCCCGTTTTGTTTATTTTTCACTCATTTGTATTCTCATCCAAAAGGTTCGTATTTGAACAAGTAGGCACGCACTATTTTATGATTGTTTCAGCCGTGATTCGGATTCCAAAAAAATATATTACAGCCTGAAAAAAAAGCTCCAAAAAACTCCGTGCCAACAGAAGATCCGAAGTTTTGCCACTCAGACAAAGTTCTTACTAGAGGAATACATAAGAACCTATTTGTATATACCTTGCCTACTTTTGTTTGATCGTTATAACTTGATTTGTTCACTATTAACGATTCTTCGAAATAAATTTTGCTCTTTCTCAACCAGACTTAGGTCAAACAACAAAGTCAATTATATAATAAATTTAACAACATCAACTGCATTAGACAAATATAGTTTCAACTGCAAACTAGAGTTCAAACTGTCACGCATCAGGAATTATCTGGGCCTTTAGCTTTTTGCAACAGCTCCGCAGCTTTTCGCTGGAATTCTGCACGCTTGTCTTCTAGTCTTTTGGCTGAATCGGGCGTTAAATTCGCCAGAATAGGCGCTACTGGAATTTCTGATTTAGGTGGAACCACTGTGCTCAAACCCGGAGCCGGTACATGTCCCTTGAACAAAGGGAAAACGCTACTGCTCATTGTAGCAGGCTTGGGCTTGATGGGCTCTTGAATTCCTTGCTCTTCCTTCCCCAAACCACTTCCTCCCCATCCCATTTTCTTCAGTAACTGATGTCCTACGTTTGACTCCTCTAGTTTCGAGTCTGCGCTTCTTCTGGAAACCTTCAGGGGCCGCGCTGAAGTTGGTCCTCGAGACCCGTCGCTGGAGCTGGAGGAGCTCCGTGAACGAGATCTTGAGTAAGATCTGGATCTTGACTTAGACCTGGAACGACTTCTGGGCGACCGTCTCCTGCTGGCTCTAAAGGATGGTACTGGTTCAGGACTTGTCCTCCGAGTTCTACTTAAAGGTAACCTAGGTTTATGAGGCGGTAGTTCAATAACGTGATTCTTTAATAGCTCTTCTACGTAGGGCTGTATCTTAATTGACTTTGTTGGCCCCCTATTTTCGGTATATTTTGATTTCGCCTTGTAGTATTCCGTTAAGGCGCCGTGTTCCCAACCCTCTAGATTTCGAGGTCTATCAGGAGTTGGATGGGCGTAGAAAGCATCAAGTGCTGCAAGTAGTCGATTAGAAGGTGGTATCGCAGGAGGAAGACGAAGATCTTTCGGATCAATTGGCTCAAAATCAACGTCTTTGAGGTTAATCAATGGCACCATCAGACCAGCTGGGAGATCCCAATAAGGAGCAGTGGGTACTAAACTTTCAATAGGAGGCTCTTTCGGAACTGGGAACCTATTTTTCGCAGAAGGATCGTCTAAAGGTCTAGAATTTCCATGATCGTATTCATAAATTTCATGCTTGATTTCGGGTAGCTCGTCGTCATTTGGAGCCCTCAAATGTGGTGGGACGTTTTCTAGTTTATGATTGTAATCATAGAACTTGGAATTGCTTAAATATGGTTCTTCACTTTCTTCACCTCCCTCCTGATTTTCATTGCTACCATTAGATGGCATATTGTATCCTAGCTCAGTATGGGCCATCGACTGGCCGTTTGAACTGTTTTCAATGTTTTGCGGGTGAGGAGGGTAACTGGATCCCATTTGATGTGGAGGTGGCATATTTGGGTAGTGAGTCGGAGGATGACCATGATATGGCATATGCGGTGGCTGGTGCATGTTCGGATTTTGATGGTTAAACGGCGGTGGTTGTCTCGGAGGCATATATTGCTGACTAGCTGCATTGGCAGCCGCCATTTGCTGTTCCAAATGTGCAACGAAAGAATCATGTTGTTGTGTTAAAGCGATGATTCGTGCTTGAGTCGAGGCCTGGATGCCTTGTATTTCGTCTTTAAAAGATTCGATATGTTTACAAGCAAACTCAATCCATTTCAGTTCATTAGTTTGACGAAGTTTTTCAAGTACGGATTGGTGGAAATACTTGTGAGTCGTCCATAATGTAACAAGTTTTGTCAGCTTTTGGATTTTTTCGCTGTCTTGCAATGCAGCTTGATTGGCTAATTGGAACACTGAAACTACTACATCTTCAATCGCGTCTTGAAGCTCCTTATTACCTAAACAAAAACATTGCATTGAGAGCCTTGCAAATCACCATGCGAGAATAAAACACGAAATCATAACTTACCTTTCCGAAAGCAATGATGCACAATGTCGTTAATAAGGTATATGATGTGCAGTCTCCCATCAAACGTTGTCGTTTTATTTAATACTTCATTCAGCAAGTACAGAGACATGAAATCGCAGTGTGACTGAGAGTTTGCCGATACATTGAGAAAACATTGCTTTCCCGCAGATATTGCATCTTTAGTACATGATTCTACAATTGGCGAGATAATTCTGTCAATTTCAGAAACATCAATTTTCATTTGCTTAGACACTGAATCAAGAGATTCTCCAACTTTGAGCTCAATGAGCTGTCGAACTTTCGTTTCTTGTTCGTTGCCTAAAACCTGTTGTTGCGCTTGCAAGTTTGCCAGACTAGTTTGTATTTGCTGCTGCAAGAACTCGACCGGAGGCCCTGAATATTGACCTGCTGGATTTGGAGGAAGCGGAGGTCGCATGCTGCTCATTGGAGGCATTTGGTGAGGATTTGGAGGGGCTATGTGATGCTGAGGATGTGACGTAGTTGGCATGTGCATTGAATGGCCATTAGGTAGTGGAGGGTGCATGTTGTGAATCGGGTGAAAAGGTGGCGGTTGATGTGGTCCACCAGCAGCATTGGGAGGGGACTGATGAGGGTGCGATCCCATTTGCCCTTGAAACGGCGGACCCGCATTTGTTGGTTGGAAAGGAGGACCCGGTGGTGGCATCTGCTGTTGCTGCTGATGCAACGTCTGCTCAGCTGCAACTCTGTATGAGTAGTAATCAAAATATTCTCCTCCAAAAAGAAACTGGAATTTCGGGTTGTCTTTTTGCTTTTGCTTCGTCATTCGCTCAAATTCGACTCCATTTCGGGCAACAAAATTAGCCAACTTATCAATAATATTTTTAAGCTCCTGATCCCGAGGAGCCTGGGGTCCACTCATTTTTCAAGTCTGTAAGCAAAAAAAAAACAGTCAATTGAATGTTGGACACAGCAGAGAAACAGCTTAGCGTCACTTGTGATACATCAAAAACATAGCATACGGAGCAAGTCGCGCGAAAAGATACGGATCTATTCAGTCGAAAGCGTTTTCAAAATATTGGCAAAATCGATCTGCAAAAACTTTCATTTATTTGGAAGGAAAAATTCTAAGTGAACCAAAAAATAAGTCTGGATGTAACTGGACGCCCAGCTGAAGGTACGTGCTTGATGCTTTTTTTACTGATGTTATACTGATGCGGGATGAAATGGGCAATTTCAGCACTTGTAACATTCGCCCAAATATCACACAGCGACGGAGCGTAGAAAAAGTACCTATTAACGACTGGCAGGCGTCAGTTACCTTAATTCTACTCGTTTTTCACCGTCTCGACCTTGCCAGTTGATTTTCTGGTCTGTCTAGGGCAAAGTAAAAAGTTACCATTTTTAGGCCATCAGTCAAACGACTTTTGATCAGCTTTCGTTTACATGCGAACACAACCACATAGCTGAGTCTCGGATCCTCAGACTACGTGATTGTCATTAAAAACACGGCTCGAACAACCTATTTTATTATGTTTTTGTGTGACAGTTCTATATTAAATCCATTGGAGATGGATTGACCCTTTCCTTTTTCTAGCTACTCATGCTCTGAAATATTAAATAATAACGGTGTTAATTAAGATCTATGACATTATAGCAGCTATACAGTCAGTCTATACAGTCCCTTCATATAGACAGTCTCTGGGGGACCAAGCCTCCGCTCCCGTAATATTCTTGAGATAACACTCTTATCTCTTATAATTCGTGTCCCAGGAGGGTCCCGTGGTATATTTCTTCCCCCACTGAAGCCTCCTTCTCCACAAATATCCGTCGCTAAGGTTCTTATCGTGTGTTATTGCCACGATAAGAGGCTTCGTAATTTTCTTGCTCGACTGTTCTTCACAATGTCTATCGTGGTTCTGTTTTTCGTCTTTTTATTCAAAATGGCCGTCTTTTCTCTATTTCTCAGAAATGTTCTTCTTCCAATCGAAATTTTAAAAATAAAAATTCTAGAACATTCTGACCCTCCGTCGCAACACTTTTTTGTTCATAAGGCCTTTAGTCACTCTTTTTTATGTCGCCGGAAGGTTGTGCTGTGTCATCTGGCAGAATGGCACATACTCCCCGGACAAGTCTCCATCAATGTCCCTATTCATCGCATAACACCGGGTTATCGTCAAGTAGTTATCCAGTTTTCTGTAATCAACCTTACAAATCGCATAAGAAAATGAAATTTATCTACCCCACCTCAACTCACTACGTGTTCACAAATGGCATCGTACTACATCTCACTGCCTTTCATTATTTTCACAAAATTTGCACCATGAGGAGTGTCCTAGATAAAATTTCTTTTCTGACTACTTACGTCGTCTTGCCATAAAATTTCTTTTCGCTCTTTGTGATTAAAAAGTGGGACGTGGCACGGCCACGCACCCGTTGAAATTAACTTAACTTCACTCACCAAGTATAATCAGTCATCTATGCGGTCCTTTCAATATTAAAACTAAGAAACTCTGTGGCTAGGAAAGTTCTTGAGTTACCCACCCTTCTCGAGCGAGTTTACTCAAACTTACCATGTCGCCACACAGTGAATTTGTGTCTTACACAGGTTAAAAACTTCAGTCGTGAATAAATAGGTAAATATACTCACCTATGTTCCTAATATACATACATAGATAGTAGTAACTAAAATCAATAATTTCAACAATTTTAACAATTGCAACATTTTCAAAGTTTGGTCTGACCAAACTAGATCAAAACAAAAAGTTTAACAAGTTCAATAATCAAAACTTGGTTGATTTGTTCAAGTTTTTACACACAAAGACAATCAAGTTTTTTCTCCTTCTCTTCTCTTCTTTGGTCATCTTCATTCCATCATTTCTCCATCCTGATGTTCAGCGTCACTGTCTTCCAGGACTTTCTCTAACATGTCCAAAGAGTTGCGGGCCGTGCCCCAACCCTCCTGTTCCAGCAGCCTCGGTTTGCAACAAGGTAGCAAGTCCACATTCACCTTCTGCTCCCGGTTCCTGCAAAAGCTGTTGTGAAGACATAGGCTCACGTTTCGTTCTAGGTCAGCTCTTAAGACCTCTTTCTTCTCCTCTTCAGTAACACAAGGCGTTCCAGCTACCCGCTTCACCGCTGTGGTGACCGCGTTTCTGTGCGTCAAGAATGCTCGTTTATAGGCTCCTGGTCCTATATCTAGCTGGAAAGATTGATAGGCTTCCGTGTTCCTTGACATGTGACGCTTCGCGCGTTCGTACATCCAAGATGTCATCACTGCACGGAACCAAGGCATCAATCTTTGCCTTGACCATATTCTTTCAATGGCTTTAGGTATCCTCAGAACCTTGCAGGTGGTTCTGAAAAGATCCAATTCATGACTCATCTTCGCGTTGATCAACTGCTCAGGAGTCGGCACGGCCGTCTCCTGCTGACTTGTGTCCGCGTTAGCCTCCAACCATCTCACTGCTAGCATGGCGCTAACCACCACGATTGACACTTGTTGATTCTGATCGGGCAACCCCGTGGAGTACAATTCCTCCACGTCCCATACTAGGATCAGATTCCCGCGTTTGGGGTACCACAACGTCTGCGCCAAGCAGTGGCAAGGATACTCCCCATGGGTTCTCACTATGTTCCTTCGGGTCCGATACCCTGAGGCTCCCAGCAACGGTTCCACTTCCATCAGAATTCTATGTAAATCGTCTTTCTCTTCTATGGTAGGGAATTCAGTGGGTAACGCTCCACTCGCTTTCTGTTTCTGGAACTCACTCACGTTACCTTCGTTCAGTCTCATGAACTCTTCACCCACAACGTCTTGCAACTCGCCTCGCTTTCAACATCTCCACATAACCCCCTGCCGGATCTCCCATGTGGACCGATTCCGGCACAGTTATTCGACTGTACTCGACCACGTCGAGTTGTCCTTCCAGTTTCAACTTGGCCATGTTGATTCGCGAGGGCCTATAATCTTCAAGTCCTCCAGATCCACATTGACTGATGATTTCCATTTCTAACTTAGTGTCTGCCAGGGTTCGCGCCGTCTTCTTCGATCTTGTGGCGGTTACTGTCAGACCTGCCAAGAGCATAGGGGGTATCAGGTTTTCTTTTTCTCCCCCGGCTGGTGCCGCACCATCTCCTTGCCCGCTCTCGCCTGACCGACCTGCGCTCGTTAAAGAGGTCACCACTGCGCTGGCTCTCGACTTCACCACTCTCGGGTTCATGGCTCGACTCCCTGTCTTTCCTTTCAGTCTCTTCAGCCCTTTTTTGGCTCGTCTAACAAGTAACTTCTTTGTGCCCTGCTGGTCATCGGCACTGTCTTCTGTAACTGACTCGGTCAGAACATCCGACTCCATGGAGTTCACTATTTTCTCCAGGACCTCACGCATGATGGGTTGATTCAATCCCACCTTCATTATGGATTGTGTCCCATATCGTCGTATCACGTCCCACGATTTTTCCATGAAGTTCACTCGGCTCAAGGTGGCTCCTGTCTTGCCTTCCAGTTCCATTTGATATCTTTCCCATTCCTCTTCTGGTAACGTACTGAGGAAGGTTATCTTCATCGACTCTTCGATTTTCCTCCTCCTCGGTGATTCATGAAGCAGTCTCTGCGGATCCTTGCTTCGGCACTCTCTAGCCTGGCTTATTGGGTCCATCGGAGATAGATCGGCCGACGCCTCCTTTGTAGGAGACATGAAGAACGATGGTGCCATCAGCAATAAACTCCCATCGACTTCCCCATCGTCGTCTTCACTGAACCGGTATTCTACCAAGTCCCTTTCCAACGCTCCTAGATCGGTCTCTCCCAGTTTCTCCGTCTTACTTCCGGTCCCGTCATCGTTATCGTCCTGATCCATCAATTCATCGTCGTCCGCATCAGGTTTCGGCTTGGGTCCCGAGGGTCCTTGTCGTGCGTCTGTGCCCGAATCTGGCCGAGCCGGTACGGCCATGTCTCCTGCGTGATAAAACAATTCATCATCCACCAGGAATTCTACTAACTCCTCGCCATGTGGAGCCAGGTCTTCTATCGTTATATATGAGCCTCCTCTGCTCTCCCTTGTCACCTCCAGCATCATTACTTTCGCTTCTCCTGACCACTTCAGTCTCGATAAGTCATCCGCGGAAGAATACACTTCGTTCCACGTTTCAGCCGAGACCTCTGGTCTCCTGGAGGGTAGTGCCTTGATCTTTTTCCTGCTCCAGGCATCGGGGAATGAGAAGTCAAACGTATGCGCGGCGGCAGCGTTCCAGCTGATGAAGCGCGGCTCCATCCCTCCACTCCACTTCAGCATTCTCTTCTCTGCGTCACGAGCTGCTCCGATGCGAGGGGCAATGATGGGAGACGTGGCTCCCAACAACATCCTCCTTATCTGTGGATATCGAGGGCATTGGTCCGGCAGCGGCCTGGACCCAAGAAGCCATGTTTGTTGATTCTATTTCGCGTGGGCGTAGGCTCCTGGCAATTGAGGTACTCCCACAGCCTCTCCTGTATCTTTCACCACTGGTCTCAAATTCCAAAGTTTTGGGTTAAACTGGATGTGGGACAGATCCTCACGGCCCATTCGGCATTTGAAGTGGTCGTTGAAGTCCATCAACACCCAGCCTGGCTCTGCTATTCTTCCGAACAGCCTATCGTCGCTAGCCAGCTTTCTCAGTTCACTCTGCTCTACCCAATTCAGCACGGAACAATCCACAACTGAGACCAGGTTGACGTACAACACCGAATTCCTGTACGCTTTAACTTGCACATCCGGGAACGCAAAAGACATCACCGGTCCATACACCACTGTGACGAATTCCCTCAGTCCGTGGACCAGAGCCAACGGATCAATCCGCATCATGACAGCTAAGTCCGTTAGTAAGGGCATGCCACAATACTGCTTGCATTCGCCTGCGTTCGTCGCAACTTTGTCTTCTCCTGTGAC